CTACTGATGCCTGATCCCGCTGATGCCTGTTCCCGCTGCTGCCTGTTCCTGCTGCCGCTCCTGCTGCTGCCTGTTCCTGCTGCCGCTCCTGCTGCTGCCTGTCCCTGCTGCCTGCTCCTGCTGCTCCTACTACATGTGCCGCTGCTGCTGTTCCTGCCGCTCCGCAGGCTCCCAGGCTGCACCTCTCTACGGCTCGGCTCTTTCAGACACGTATGTAACCTGGCTCACGGAGACAAGCGGCGCACGCTGGCGTGACACGTCTGCTGTTCGTATGAATCGCATTGTCGTGCTGCTGCTGCTGCTAATGCTACTTCTGCTGCTTCATACTGCTACCGCTACTGCCGCTACTGCTGCTATTGCTGCCGCTGCTGCTTCATACTGCTACCGCTGCCGTGCTGCTGCTGCTTCTTTACTTTGACACCTCTCTTCACTTCGCATCTCTTTTACTGAAACACTAAACAGCTTCAACAATATTCTACTGCGGTGGCTTTGATACAGGATTATTGCTGTTATTATCTACGGATGCTGCAACTGCTGCTGCTGCTTCATACTGCTACTGCTGCTACTGCTGCTGCTTCCTACTGCTACTGCTGCTCCTGCTAATGCTGCTTCTGCTGCTTCATACTGCTACCGTTGCTGCTGCTGCTACTGCTGCCGCTGCTGCTTCATGTACTTTGACATCTCTCTTCACTTCGCATCTCTTTTACTGAAACACTAAACAGCTACAACAATATTCTACTGCTCTGGCTTTGATACAGGATTATTGCTGCTATTATCTACGGATGCTGCAGCTGCTGCTGCTTCATACTGCTACTGCTGCTGCTGCTTCATACTGCTACTGCTACTGCTGCTGCTTCATACGGCTACTGCTGCTACTACTGCTGCTGCTGCTTCATTTACTTTGCCATCTCTCTTCACTTGCATCTCTTTTACTGAAACCCTGAACAGCTACAACAACATTCTACTGCTGTGGCTCTGATACAGAATTATTACTGTTATTTTCTAAGGACGCTGCTGCTGCTGCTGCTGCTGCTACTGCTGCTGCCGCGGCTTGATACAGGATTATTGCTGTTATTTTCTAAGGACGCTGCTGCTACTGCGGCTGCTGCTACTGCTGCTGCCGCGGCTTGATACAGGACTTTGCTGTTATTATCTGAGGTTACTGCTGCTGCTGCCGCTGCTGCTACTGCTACTGCAACCCACTCTCTCAGAAGCGTATCCTGCTTCTAATGGATGCAGCCCGGCTGAGTATGCCGCGCTGCGCCGGACTCGCACCTATGCTCCCAGGGTCGCTTCGGCGGTCGTGCTTCATCTCTCTACTTAATCTTCTGATCCATCAGATGCAGCTGGCCAAGTAGCTGCGCTGAGCCGTCAATCGGACTCCTAATCAAAGGCATCCATACCTGTATTCTTCACTCTTCTGATCGCAGGCTCCCCATCATGCTGCCCATCCTGCAGCGGCGCTGAACTCCGGCTCATCTTCCAAGTACATGTCCGCCCTCCTCGCAGCATCTTCCTGCTCGCCTTCTTGGCTTCTCTGCATAAGCGTTTCACTACTGCTCACTCAACCTTCATGTGGTCCGAGACACGGCTTTTCCCAACCTATCCTACTGTCCTGATTATCTAATCTCCAACCCAAGATTCTAAGCGTAAGGGCGCTGCAACATCAATGGCCCTCTCCGACATGTCTCTGCCCCTACAGGTCTCCGCTTCTACACGGACGCTGCCCCTTCCGTGGGTTTTGGGGGATTCTTCCAGGACCATTGGTTTGCCGAGCGTGGCCGCTACTTTCCACCGGAGCATCTCCTCTGCCCTACACGAGATATTCCCAGTGGTCGTGGCCTGCGCGCCGTGGAATCACACGTGGCAGAGAAAGAGGATCTCTGTCATGTGTGATAATCTCGACGTAGTGGAAGCATTAAACAAAGGTCGCTCTTTTTCACCCAACATAATGTCCCCTGACCATTTCAACCTCCGTCTCAAACATTCAAAAATCAAAGGAGCCTGCAATATAGTAATAGCTCGCTCGGACACATCTCTCTGCCCCTACAATTCCTTGATGCGTTACACTCGCCTCCGCTGCAAAAAGGAGATTTTAACGGACCTCTCTTTCTCACTCCAGACATTCTTCCCATGACAGCAACCTGGTTCAGAGCTCAACTAAGATCCCTACTGCTCCTCTGTAAATTGTCTCCCCAGCTCTACACAGCCCACTCCTTCAGGATAGGCGCTGCCACGCGCGCGGCCTCGCTGGGGCTCCCCCACACCTCTCTGCAACAGCTGGGGCGCTGGTCCTCTTCGGCTTTCTCCGCCTACATCAGGCCAGACGCGTCCGCTATCCTGGCTGCACAACGTCTACTGGCTTCTTCGTAAGCTCCCAGCAAAGCAATACAAAGCAAAGTAAGTGAACCAATAGGATTTCTGGTGGCGGCACGCACTTTTAAAGATAACTCTGCTACAGCGTCCGGTTGATCGTGATGCGAGCGCTCACGTCCCGGCGCTTAAAGATAACTCCACTGCAGCGTCTGGTACCGATCGTGATGCGAGCGCTCACGTCCCAGACAGCGTCCGGTTGATCGTGATGCGAGCGCTCACGTCCCGGCGCTTAAAGATAACTCCACTGCAGCGTCTGGTACCGATCGTGATGCGAGCGCTCACGTCCCAGACAGCGTCCGGTTGATCGTGATGCGAGCGCTCACGTCCCGGCGCTCAAAGATAACTCTGCTACAGCGTCTGGTATCGATCGTGATGCGAGCGCTCACGTCCCAGGCAGCGTCCGGTTGATCGTGAAGCGAGCGCTCACGTCCCGGCGCTTAAAGACAACTCTGCTACAGCGTCTGGTATCGATCGTGATGCGAGCGCTCACGTCCCAGGCAGCGTCCGGTTGATCGTGAAGCGAGCGCTCACGTCCCGGCGCGCAAAGATAACTCTGCCCGTTTTTGGGGATTATGCGCGCGAGCAAGCGCCGCACTCATCAGCATCTCTCCCGGGCCTAGGGCGCCAAACATACTCAATCAACAAACTTCTAACTGCATTTTCCCTCTTGGGTCTCTCCAAAGTGAAATGAAGCTCTTCGCGAAAGTTCACTGTGGTAGACCCGGCCGCTGCAGCCAGATCTACAAGCCTGCTCATCCTCTACTCATTACACCAGCAAAACGCCCACATCTAATCCACCAATAACCACCAGGACAGCAAGTTAAAAGCCGGAGACGCCCACTTTCCCGGCCTTCTGAAGTTTGCAAAGCCTCCGCCGCCCCACCTCCTCCTTCTCTCATCGAAGCGTGCTTGCCTACTGCCTCTGCCGTCACCAGTGCCTAGGCCCCGGGGGGGATTATGCGCGCGAGCAAGCGCCGCACTCATCAGCATCTCTCCCGGGCCTAGGGCGCCAAACATACTCAATCAACAAACTTCTAACTGCATTTTCCCTCTTGGGTCTCTCCAAAGTGAAATAACATTCAAGAGCAATATAAAAGACCACAACCTCTCTGGCCCTATCGCTCCTCCAGTTTCTCATGTTGATTGTTGCCCTGTGGCCCTGCTGCTGGTCGCGGCTGCAGATTGCGTGCCTTGAGTGGGTCTTGTGGAGGGCCCTGTCCCTGAGGATCCGGGTCGTCCTGTCTGCGCGACTGTCTATCGTCTACAGTAGAACAGTCTGTGGAACATTGGAGAAAGGGCAGTGTCAGCCAGTGTCATTGGGCGGCACGGTGGCTGAGTGGATAGCACTCTCGCCTCTCAGCAAGAAGGTCCTGGGTTCGAATCCCGGTCGGACCAGGGCCTTTCTGAGTGGAGTTTGCATGTTCTCCCCGTGTCGGCGTAGGTTTCCCCCGGGTACTCCGGTTTCCCCTACCGCTAAAAATATGTACAATAGGTCTGGCATGCGCCTCCTGTACTGGCGACCCCGCTCCCATCTCTGTGTGGAGTGAGAGACAAGTGCCCAAAAAAATAACAATTGTAAACCGCTTTGAGACTCAGCTCTGCAGTGAAAAGGCGGTATATAAATAATTACTTACTTACTTACTTACTTACTATGAAAATACTTTCGATTATCCCTCATTCATGGTTATTTAGCTCTTAATCGGTATTTATTAAGCACTTTGTAGTCCTTATTTATGGCTTTATTCTTTATACTATGGCTTTGTTCAACATACTAACTAACTACTAACTGGCACTTTCCATGTGGGTTAGGATTAGAATTAGGGTTCACTAATTAGCACTTATCCATCCATCCATTTTCTTCCCCTTATTCCATTTGTGGGTTGGGGGGCTGCACCCAATTCACATAGCACCAGCCCCTCACTGATCTTCCTGCAGGTGGTGAGTCCACAGGAGCCTTGATCTTTCAGCAGGGGCTTCAGGCAAAGTGGGGTTAAGTGTCTTGCCCAAGAACACAACGACTGCAGACATTAGTGGGAGTCGTGAAGTCGTTCTTTTGGCAGGCTCAAACCCATGACCTTCTGGCCCAAAGGCCAAAGCTCTACCAACTGAGCCACTGTTGCATTTAATTAGCACAGATAGTTTGTAAAAGCCACTCAGGTCACACTATATTTTAGTTTTGGTGGATCTTTATTCCAATGTGTTGGATGTTTGATGCAAATTCATGAAGACGCTACTACTTTCCTAATTGAAGCATTTCCTTAGCATACATAAAACTTTGTTCTTTTTTTGCTGAACTAAAACCCATTAATAATTCATCATTATGTGCCAACAAGTAGACATTGATTGTGGTGTTACTCGGATTTGGTCTCTTTTACAGCAAACAGGAAAATGCATTGTATTTTCAGCTGCATGTGTCCCCTGAGCTCCATTTAAAAGCCTCACATCCATTGGTTGTGCTGTGAAATGTTTTGTTCTGATCTCCGGCCCTGTCCCAGCGCCGCTCTTTAGCAGAATACTCCAAATGCTTTGTTTAAATAGTCTGTATTGTTTCCTTGCGGCCTCTATTTACTGACGCACTGTTCAAAAGTCACCAGAGACTCTCGCAGACAAAATGGACTCAAGTTATGGAGGACAAAAGCCCTGGTACAGGCTTTGTAATTGCCTTCATAACACAATATGTTAAACGGCCAAACCAACAGGAAACTTCCCAAGGAGCATTTTAGGCATTTCAAAACTTTTCTCGACAGAGTGCTGTCTGTTTGATGCTATTGTTGCATACAGAATACTGATTACTGCTGCACTGTGTGCATGGTATCTAACTGTCTGAAGGTGTATAAACAAACTAACTTTAGAAGACATGTCAAAAAACATACAATGCATTATGTTGGTAATATTTACTTTGGAATGTCATGATTTAGAAAGTAACATCATGTCTTAGGGAAATGAAAATACATATATACATTATATTTTACATGTATATATTGGGGCTGGGACTATAGATTGCCATTAAGATTAATTTAATACACAAAAATAACGCAACTACTCAACAAGTAAAGCTTGGCGTTCTATTTGGAGAAATCCATTTCAAATCACTTCCAGTAAAAGTTATCTAAGTCTTATTGTCTGACATAGTGGATAAACACTTATCATATCATATAAGAGTTTATGGTTCTTTTAAAAGTAAAATCTAAAAGTAAATCTAAAGAAATAAAAGACAGATGATAATTTTCGAACCAAACCAAAAATGTGTATTTTGTTTCTCTGAAGTGCTTTCTTTCACTATTTTTGCCAAACCCCGAAGAGTGTGGATGTCATCAGGCCGCCATTAAAATGCCATCATCATTAAAGAAGGATTAGTTTTTCCCCCAACCACCACCACGAGCAGCAGCTCCACATCACGGCCGCTTCATTACGTCCATTACGTCCTCTGTCCCAGGATCGCAGAAGACATTTGGACAGGAGTCGTACCCGCACCTCACGCACCATTGGGCAAATCCATTATACACAACACAGCTATCCATTTCATAAGCTTTAGGATTCATGAAGAATCACCTCAGAGATTACCTCAGATATTTGATCTTTTGTCTATGCCCAGTTGTTTAGAAAAGTACATAGGACTTTGGGCTTTGACCTTTTTGGTTTTCTCACTCAAAATTTTGTTTTTTTATATTCCAATTTATTGTAATCAAGATTTAAATTTTTCTCCAATGCAATGACCCAAAAGTACATTACAGTGAAGTGAAAACGCTCAGAATCGTGCGCTCCTATCAGTAGAACACATACTGTATTTCCCCCACAACATTTGTGTTATGTTGTGTTATTTCGTCATACTATCTACAATTGAAATGGATTAATTGATGAATACATGGCTGTGCGATTTGCAATGTTGTCTTCTGATATCTGTCAGCAAGGCAGTCACAACACCCATTTAGTCTTGACTCGGCGCAAGATTGGGACAGAAAATGTAGTTTACCAAAAAAAAAATATCCCTAACTCACAAAATTATCTCAAAGGACTTTACAAAACCATTGAAATCACCAACACAGATCAGAGACTCAAGAAATGCAATGATACAAATCACATAGAGCCATTGATCCATATGGGGCAGATGACCAATGTCCATAAATGTTGAACAAACGTTTTCTAAAAAAAAAAAAAAAAAAATACTAAGAGACCCAAACATGGGGCCCATCATGCATCCACGGATCTACAGTACATTCATGTATTAATTTTCCTTCTTGACCCCCAGGGGCAGAACCAAAACATCATCAGGTACCCTCCCAGATCAAAAGAGGCACTAATTACTTGGTTTTTTTTTTACTTTCTGTTGATTTCCTCTTTCCTGTCATAGCAGTAGTAGTAGTCAGAGATGTGTTGTTGTCTGATAGCGAGGTGTCACTCCCACGGTGTTCATTTGCTCGGTGCCGTATCGTGTCTCTGTCTTTGCTCGCGGCAGGGAATCATGTGATGTTTTCCACAAACGTCCTTTGTTACTGGTTGGGGGATTTTAATGTGCATGTATGTTGTCCTTCAAAGCCCTTGGCTCAAGAGTTTTTAGATTTTGTTGATGTTTTTTTATTTGACTCAGCATGTGAATGGCCCCACGCAAATACATGGCCACACGTTAGACCATGTGTAGCCTGGCTTTAGCCATCCGTACACTCCGCTCAATCATCATTTCACTGCATGTAACGTCTGGGTCTAGTCCCTGGGTTAGCGATTACGATCGGTTGAATTTCGACCGACAAATCAGCATGCGCGGAAGGCAGGTGTTGTAGTTAGTTGTGGGTGATGTCAAGAGTTTGCGTCGAACGGGAAGGTTCTGGTTTGGCAATGGCGAAAAATGCGATAGTAAAGTAATCCGGTCTGGTTCTATCGGGAAATTGAAGCCGGAGCAAGAGTAATGTTTAGCAAATGTAATCGCTGGAAACAAATGTGGCGCTACTCCCCACGGGCTCCGTTACCGGCAAAGGAGATGGCTAGGCTAAATTCTAAATGTTAACGACTCACTCGGTCGCATTACATACGTCACGGTAAACTCAGAGACGATCTTTAGACCATAGTGGATACTGACGAAGAAGATGTAAACTTTGTGACAGTTCAATGTGTATCGACTCAAGAATTACAGATAAATCAACCCTAAATTAAGACTAGATGTCTGATGTTTGACAGTTACAATAGTTCCCGGGAAAGATATGGTTTCAGAAACTGCCTTCCACCTAGAGTTGCAAAGGGGCAAAAAAATTCTCGTAAATTTCTTGAAAGTTTCTGGTAAATTTCCATGAGGTTTAACTGAGGAATTTTGATTATTCCACAATGTGAACTGGAAATTCATTGCAATGTACTAGGGGTGTAATGATACGTTTTATGAACTATACGATCCGTATCGATATGAGAGCAAACGATTTAGATAAAAAACTATACCTTAATTTTTAAAACTATATGATTCGATACGATACAGTAGATTTTGAACGATATATCGATACATTAATATTGGCTTTTTCTGTAAATAAACTTATTACAGTAATTCAAACTTAGAAATCTAACTCAGATTTAAAGTGCTGAACAATTTTACAAATTTAACAAAAACATTTATTTTACCCAAGAGCTAACCTATAAATAACTGACATGAATAGAAAATAATAAAACAGATGTATAACAATGCAGTGCTTAACAAATGTTTACAGCACCACCTAAGTGCTTAAGATTAAATATATTTTTAATATATATATTTTTTCTATAGTGGTTAAATAAGAAAGAATCTGAAGCTGGATTTGATGGAAATAAGTCCAGACTTAACAAGGAATATTTCATTATTCCAATTGATTATTTTCTTAATATTAAATAAAAATGATACTGTTAATTTTAAGTTCTTGATTTTTGTGTTACTAAGTTCTTTATGTTGTCATGGTGGTCCAACACTTTTGTTGAGCAAACAAGAATTAAACAAGTTGCGGAACTTATGAGCAGTGTTAAATCAGTGGTTTTCGGGGAAGCACTTTTTTCGCAGCTCTAGTACATTTTCAATATAAAACACAGACACTGACAGCTCCTCCCCCGCGGCCGGACTAACCTCGTCAGTCCAGCGGTGGTCTTTCACTCTATATTACTTCTTGCTTTGATTGAAAGTCCAGTTGAGAAACAAATCCTCAATTCAATCATCCATTTTCCAGCAAAAGAAATAGCACCAACAGGACTGATTGTTGGTTAGCAAAATATTTACAGTCTGTGAGAAACTCGGGTATAACTTCATGCTCACTATCACCCCTAGTGGTGGGGCACAGACACTGCCTGCCTCACGCTAGGCATTTCCCATGTGTATTCTTCTCCGATCAAAAGACTTCAAATAATTATATATAGTACACACAATACGTGCAATACATTACTAAACACTATGACAAGTTAAACAAATGTTTTCATAGCAGGATGTTGAAACAAAAAGGGATATATCAACAGCACGAGCTGAGTGCACACACACACACACACACACACACACACACACACACACACACACTGTGTGGGAGCGAGCGGTCTGGGGGGAGGCAGGAGCGCTGCCTCACCTCGTCTCTTTGAATAGGAAAAATAGGATTTCAGCGATTTTGACTACAGAAATGATCAAAACTGTTCGGAAACAGGCCGAAAATACTTTATAAGCATAGGACAGTGGAAGACAATTATATGTTTTGACTATATTAATAATTATTTTTTCAATGATGGCAGGTGAGGCTCTGCCTCCCCTGACTGCACGTCACTGGTTCTGACTATGATTTAATGTAAGAACTATATCGATACAATCGACATTTTTCCATTTAAAACGATGTAGTGTTGATGTGCGGCTAGGATTGAGGCCAAATAGCTGAGCACCGATCAATGTAGTTGATCGCAGTGGAGACACATGGATATATCGTAATAAATAGATGTATTGTTACACCCCTACAATGTACTGTAATTAAATTCAACCATAAATCCTCATATCCAAGCATACTGTATATATGAACAGAAGTAATGAGAAAACATCCATGCAAAATGTTTTCAACAGATACAACAACAACAACAACTTATTATTGTATAGCCCTAAATCACAACAGAAGTAATCTCAGACTTAACAAAACCATTGAAATCACCAACACAGATCAGAGAATCAACAGTTAAAACACAAAATATAAACATATGTATTGGTCCATAGGGAGAGACCAATGTCCATGAATGTTGATGAATGTCCATACATTTTGTAGAATGTTAAAGTGTCCTAGATCATCACCACAGTCCTTCTAGTTGCACACTAACTGTCCAACAGACCCTCCTGCATCGGCAAAGAAAAACTCACAAAAACCCAGTGGGAAAAAAAAGTGAGAAACCTCGGTGAGACCCACATTCCCACATTTGAGAAAGGGATCCGTTCCTACACGGACGGATGGGCTAATGATCCAGGATTGATCTGTTTGTATGTTTTAATTATTTTATTGAACAATAATTTTTTCATAGAGTGGGGGGGGGGGGTGGAATCACAGTGTGCTATGTAAATGTGATTGATGAATGACGTGAATATTCCAGTGTATTTGAATGGCATCTGTTTGTTTTATTCAAGATAATGCAAAAATGTACTTTACTCAGCTATATTTACGTTCCCTATAAAGAACTTTCAATTTTGAAATTGTCCAGTTTATTCCCATAATCAAAAGTTAATTTTTTATTTTATTTTTAATTCATAATTTTGCAAACCTACTTCCACCACAGCACATGATTACAGTATTATCAATATTAATTGTATTGCCCAAAGACATAAAGACATGATGCAGTATACAGATAGTGATTTGGGTTAGTTCCCTGTCTGTCCTTGTCTTGTCCAGTTAGCCTGTGGCCGTGTGCTTTGGTCTGGTGGAGGTGTCAAGATGTCAGGAGGACTCTGCGCTGGACTTGCACCGTCCATTATGTGTTAATATCGCAGAGCGCTCATGGAGGAGCGCATCAGAAGCACACTGTCTGCCATTGATTGAATGATTTCTCGGTTCAGTGAACATTCAGCAAATGAAGGGAGGGAGAGATTCTGGAAATGCTAAACAGAAAGCTATTGTAAAGGTGAGCTAGCCCTATTTCAGAATAGTGGTGAGCTATACTGACTGGAATGTATTATGGTTACTTTAGTATTTATTTGAAAGGGACAGGGCACAGAGACTTTATTTCTTACATCGATTCCCCCTTTTTATGAACTCACACCTTAGAAACATCTCTATCTTTATCTTTATATGTTTTACAATTTACCCCTGGACAACAGAATATCCCCCCATGTCACTTCCTCCTGAGGGCCCTAAAATAAAATGGAAAATTGATTAAAGAAAACATAAAAAAATTCAAAGCAATAAACTGATGCTAAAAATGGTTTGTATTTCAACAAACAGTGACAATTTGGAAACAGCTCAATCTATACAATGGCAGAGAAATCAATGTTCCAATATTTTATTAATATTCAATTTACACTTCTTACTCATTCATTATATATTGTCTTATCTTTAGACATGCTTATGCTAAACTTTTTTACATTTATTTTATGTCTGCAGCCTTCTGGGATGTGTGTGCTTACATGTTGCAGTCACAACAACAGATACGTTTTTGTATCATCTACAGTACAAACAGTGTAATTCTCCAATGGTACCAACCTCCTGTTTGTCTGTCTCCAGTGGGCGTGTCCAAGGAGGTCGCGGGTTCCCTCTCCTCTCTCCTGGTGCAGCCTATCTCTCCAGCCCTGGCACAGACTCTACTCTCTGCACCAATCACGGAGGCCGAAGACTTGTGCGTTCCACTGGCCACGCCCCCAAATGCAGGCAAGCAATCTTAATTCTTCTCCAAAGAGTCTTGGACAAGTTCTATCCAAGACCAGAGGGTTTTTTTTGTTGTACCTGACAGTTTCGATCTTGGGTTCACGCCAGGACTAAAAACCTGGGATTCTGGTTTTTAGTCCTGTTTTTAATTCTGTCACACACCTGGGATTCTGTCCTAAACTGCCAATGGCACTGTGGTAGGAAGACATGCCAAAAACAGTGTGAAACAGTTGACAAAACAGTCAACAAAACACTGGGAAAAAAAAGCAACTTATAGAATCTTATGTTTATCTGTCATTCTACAAATGTATTGACTGTACGTCATCTATGGATAATGTTCAGTCTCTCGATCATCCCAATGGTCATTCAATCTTTATACAGTTCATCTTTGAATAGTGTAGTTTAACACTCCCCACCCTGTATGTTCCACTGTTAGTCATAAATCTAAGTGGTTTTTGGTCCTGGACAAAGTGAGTTTGGGGGTAAAATGTTATCTTCTCTGGGTTGAAAAAAAAATCTTAGATAAATAGAGGACACTTCCAACAATTTCAAGTTTCACAGTACCAAATCTGTATCTCTTTGTATTAATTTGTTTGTAGATTTAAGATATTTTGTTTTTACACTCATTGTAAATAATACAAATAAGAAGTTATGTTCTTGTGGAAACTTTTGAGATTTTTCACTGCACTTTTTGTATTGTAATTTTTTTGTGACTGGTTGTTGTTTCTCACAATTGGTTTGGATATACTCTTTAACTTTATCAGTTGCTGATTGTAAAATCTGAATTGTCCGTTCATCATCCATTCTAAGGCCGGCTGGGAGGACAGAGAAATGTCTTCAAACCAATGTGCTATGTTACACCGACATATGTGTGGAAAGGACTCTGCGGCATGTTTGGGTCTCTTCGTAATTTATTAAGTGTTCTTGTATTGACCCTCATGATCCCACACGGCTTTTGCAGAACCGCACTGCAACAGACCACTCAATGTAGCATACAAACTTGACACATTGTGGGCAGAGATCATGGCTGCATAATAATATCTGGATAGGGTATTTCAAGCTTATAGCTGTCCCACCGATGGGCACAGGGGCCCCCGCGGTTTCTGCAGACTAAATTTACGAGGGCTACCCAGAAAAATGTCCCATAGAACTCAAGGTAAACTAAAACAACTCAACCTCTGACAGAGAACCTACAGCTTTCATAAAAAAATTCAAAGCAATCATCTGTACACAAAAAATTTTTGTGTCCCTTGTCGTCCTACACCTTTTTTTGTTAAATCCATTGGTTCACTCCGCTCTGATCGGCAGTGACTGATTGGTCAGAACGCTGCCGTGTCCCTCTCTGCATGTGCATGAGAGCCACATGGTGGTCCCATGTGCCACTGAACACAAGCCATTGATTTGAATAGACCGCCATCTTGGATCACCGCAGCTTTTTGGAGATCCTGAATTATCAGTGGAACTATTCTGATTGAATTGTGATCAATAGAATTTTATAAATGAACTTTGGTCATTTATCATGACAGAACCTATACAGTTCTTCCAGTCTCAGAGAACTATGATTCAGGCGCGGGTTGATTCAGAGGTGGTTGGCCTGCAGAAAAGCAGATGTGAGTCATTCTACACTTTTGTATGTTACCTCCACCTTTCCCATCTCCAACTGAGTAAAGAGCACTCCTTCTGACAAATAACACACAATCTAAGCTGCCTTTGCAAAGAGCACTATTGTGGTCATTTGTGTGAGATTTGATTGTAAACGAGAGCCTTTTGAACTGGATGGAGGTGAAATAGGGTGCTATTTTCAGTTTTTCTTCCAAGCAGGACTCAATCATTGTTTAGAAGTATAAAAAGGAACGTAGGCACATTTGTCTGATAGGTCTAAAATCAAGCTTTCAAAGAGCACTTTTGACAGGTGGTCGTTTATTAAGTCACTCCATCAATGTTTAGTGTGCAGCACCATTAGTTATCTTGACTTCAATTATATGTCAGTCATGTGACCTGGTAGTGCTTCAATCCCTACAGTGTGATTTCCTCATTAACATACAGTGAAGGAGGCGAGAGCTGCTTGACCCAATCCCACTCTTCCAACAGAGAAGAAAATGGAAAATGGAGTCTGGTCAACTACAGGAAGTAATAGGAAACATAGACATCACCATGGTTTATAGAACATCGGCAGGCAGTAACCTATTTACCACCCAAATAAAACACCTTTTCAGACTGATTATTATTATCAATTTTTATATTCAGGACACATTATTATAATTGCAAGCCCTATTTTTATTCATTTAGCTCTGGTTGTACATTTCTTATTAATTCTTTTGTCTTGGCAAGCACTTCTCTACATCATCAAGCCAGCTACTCTCTCGCAAAAATCACACAAAAAATCTGTCATTGATACCAATATAGATTTGGCTCCATTTCATGCTTTCGAGGCTTTAATCCCTGCTTATCCCTGTCCTCTCTGCACTCCCTCTCCTCCTGCCCTCTGCCAGTCACCTTTTCACTTTTTCCAGTCCATTTTCTAACTGTTACTGTCCCATGTCTGATCTCATTTACACAGCCATAAGTCCAGTTCTGCTCAGTGACTGGAACGGTGCACTCGGCTGCAGCTATAGCGCCGGTGTAGCGTAGATAAGTCTTTCAGAGTTTATCAGTTGGGATCCGCTGATGTGGTCATGTCATGTGATCAATGGCCGACTCCGAAAACTATTATCCGCTCAAACCATCGATCCAAGTTGGCGAATGGAGCAGGTTTAGTCGAGAGCCATGTCGGAAATCTGTCTGGTGAGCCTGGGTAGCCTTTTGGGGATGCAATTTTAAAACAACAAATAGTGTGTTTAGATTGCTTTTTAAAACCTACAGTGAATGAGATTTGTCCTTCGAAAACCAAAGCGGAATGTGAAGTTTTAAATTCCAATTGGATCTGGAGTGTGATTGTCCCTAAAATCCCTCTTAAAGAAGAAATATTGAAACTTAATTTTGGTGAACCAAATGCACCCCCTTCCCCTCTTTATATCCTGTTATTTCCATTTCCAATAATGTTAATAATACATCGTTATATAGCGCGTTTTTGAACACTCAATGACTCTATACAGAAGAAAAAAATAAAAGCTAAAAATAAACAGTTAAGTGAAGGTACTTTTGAACAGGTGGGTTTTGAGAACTGATTTGAAGTTCTGTAGTGAGTCAGAGTTCCTAATGTGTGGTGGGAGTGAGTTCCAGAGAGTGGGGGCAGCTGCAGCAAAGGCTCGGTCCCCCAAGGTTCAGCACTTTGTTCTGATGGGAGTGAGGAAGTTGGAGTCAGTGGATATGAGGCGGCGGGTGGGACAGTGATGATGGAGGAGATCAGTGAGGTATGAAGGGGCCAGGTTATGAAGGGACTTACGTAGGTTAGGAGGAGGAACTTGTATTTTATGCGGTAAGGAACAGGGAGCCAGTGGAGTTGTTTGAGGACAGGGTTGATATTGTCTCTGGAGCGGGTGTGGGCTTTTGGCGTCAGCTCTGCCCTGATGATAAATAGGGAAATATTTTTTTGTATTCTTGGCGGCCCGGTTTGAATGTGCAACGGCCCAGTACCGGTCCATGGACTGGGGGTTGGGAACCACTGTTTTAGAATGTGAAATATTATAAAATGCCAATGACGTGTCACTCCCTGTAATAACACAAGAGGGCAATGCTTGTGTTGCTAAAAAACCATGAACCTGCTCTGAGCATGATTTAATACACTGACAATCACATTAAATCATTACAAAGGAAGGTTTCTCACCCATCATCTGTACTTCTTAGCAGGTTTTCCCGACGTTTCATCCTTAATCCAAATAACTCTTTCAAGGGAATGAAAGCTCAAACCTTTCTTTGCTTTGACTAATCCCTGTATGAGCCTACACAAACGTATCATTACACATAGGTGCATTATATAGACGGCAGTGTTATGATATTAGCATGGAATTGGATATTTTTTATTAGGAACAATCTTGTAGCATGCTAACAAAATAAAAACATTGAATTTTTGCTAATATGTCTACTTTAACACACTAAAGTATTTGTTCGAGTACTTATTTAATCGCCCTCAAATACATTCAAATTTAAAGCAACCTCTTGCAGATAGAAACCAAAAACCCTGACCGGAATCACTGAAACTTTGTTCTCAGCAATCAGCCTGTGCGGTGTAGGAAATGAGTCTTAAATAAATCATTACTCACTAACTCACAATGGGAGAAAATGCTAATTATATTGTGCAACGAATCCTATATCCACTTGAATGCTCCCAACACGCACACACACACACACACACGCACACACACAAGCACACACACACACACACACACACACATTCAGCTTCAGAGTATCTCGTTAGAGCCTCCCATCCCTACTGAGAGCCCGAGCAATTAACCAATGGTCAGCCAATACAGCCAGCCTTAATTGAATGGGAATTAAAAGAGAAAAAAGGCGTGGAGAGGGAATTGGCGGAGATGAGAGCCAGCAAACAGATGGAAGCTCGTGATAGCGGGGTCCCGGGAGTGGTGCAGGATCGATGCGGAGAAGATTACAGCCTCTGCTTTTTGTCTTAGCCACGTATCTCCTCCTGTTTAGAGCTTGTTCACTGTAGCAGCATTACTTTGAGGGAGAAGAAACAACCAGACGCACTTGACACGCTACACATGTGCTTTTCCGCTCCAGTTGGTTCTGAGCGGAGTAAACATAGAGGTCTTTGATGCAACAGCAAAGGGCTAATTCAGAGTGACCCAAGATGTTTAGCCTTAGAAAGGACTGAAAACATGATAGAAAGAGGTATCATCTCAAATTGTCCATCATTGGAACAAAAGAGGGGCCCAAAATGCACGACTACAGATGGAGCTGCAAAGCGGGCAAAGGTTTTGGATTTCCGGAAGTGAAAATTCTAAATCCCAATAGAAGTGAAGAAAATTCCAGTTATAAAGAGTCTGAAGACACATCGGCTATGAATGATATACATTTTTTGTCTTCTTTTTTTTTTTTTTTTA